TGAGCCGTTTATTTTGAAAGTGGCATAAGTCACTTTGTTTTTAAGTCGATATATTTAAGGGTTTGCGTTTTAACGCGTTTAAAAATATGGATGCTAACTTTCGAGAAGATTTACTTGTATTTGTTATCTCAGCATACTGATATTTTTCTCAGTATAAATAATTTCGTATAAACATTAAAAAATCACCACTTTTCATTACGGTAAAGTGACTTATGCCACATTCAAAATAAACGGCTCATATATTGACAATACGACAATATTTCTTGATAATGTCAATATTCATGCACAACGTCAATATTTGTGGATTTGTCAATTATTATGGACAACGTCAATATTTACTGGCAATACATTAACATTTATCGACAATGTAAATTCACGTTCGTTCAACGGCGTTGAATAAGAAGAAAACTCCTGGCTGCCATTGTCAATTCAGACACCAGCATGGAAAAGCATATAACTTGTGAAAGTGTAATGATCGTCGAACCAGATCAATGATGTGAAAAAAACTCGATATGTTAATTACTATATTTCTGATAGATTGGCAAACGAGCGTATAAATCACAATTTCTCAAAATTGAGGGTATCAAAGTGTTTGATGTGCCTAATGTACACTTTTAAGTACAGCAAAATCCACATTAAAAAACTACGAAATTAAAGATTTTTAAATATCTACAAAACTAATAATTTTTCTAAATACTTTTGTTGAAAAAAATGTCGAGCTGCGTCAATTAATGTATAACAAAAATATACGATTCTAATTAGAAAAGTGAAGGTTAAATTATAATCAGGCAGATCTAAATTATAGATCTGCCTGATCTTGATCAACTTTTGTAAATAAAGTTTTTCAATATCTCGAGAAATAACGTAGATACATATTTAGGTAGCCATCTTTGTAACTTTGCTAGGGATTGAAGCGACAGTATCAATTAATCAGACTACGAACAGGTTCTCCCCCGTGCCATTTCGCTAGTTATCTTTTCAGCAACGCACAGTGAGACACTTGCTAGTTTGCACGATGCTAGTATTTATTCAAGACCCCGTTGCGTTCTCGAGCGAAACGCGTGCTGACAGTCGGATTTCTGATGGATGCAAGAGAACGGCGAGCTAACGGTCGGCGAACGTTTATTTAACTGACAATACGAGCTACGACGACTGTCGACGCGATAATTCCTGCTTAGAGGGTAACTATAGAACTGGACGGGTTAAAAATTGATCTAACTGGCATGTTTGGTTTTGCATATGGAAGTTCTCGTGGCAAGAGAATTCTGCAGTTCATCTAGTTACTCAAGGGTTTTCAAAGATCGGCGATAACTATGCGAGGCGGTCGAGAATGTTCGTGCAGTTTTAATCGATAGAGATACGCGATACGCAAAGTGGATCAAACGGTACCTGATTTAGAACAGTATCAAGTAAAAGTAACGACTTTATTGTTCTCTTCTCGTACAAAATTTTGTTTCCGGTGTGACATTATTGTTTTTCCTTGGCGAAAGGTTTTGTTAATACTGTTACAAAACTGCTTCGATGCACATTTGATAATCGTTGGCCGATTAAATCAGATTCTTAAAAGAAAAAGGACATCTATCACCTAACTTATGTTTCTTACGATTGTATTCGACGGTTTTTATATTGTATAAAGACCCGTAGTATACTGAAAAAGCGTAATGTACAATTTGGCAACGTACCAAAAAATCTAGAAATGATAAGAAACTTTCTTTGCAAACAGTTGTAAAATATCTAAGTCAATTAAGGAGTTCTTCATTTTTTTTAAATTTCTATTAAATCGACATAAATATACTGATACTCTTTAATTCTTGTAATCTTTTTATTGCTTGATATTGCAACTACTCATTTTTGTCAGAAATCTGTAGACTAGTAATAAGTAACGCTACAAAGAAAATATAAGGTGATTATAACAAACAGGAATTATAAATCTTGAAAGCGCCATATTTATCAGCATTTAAGCGTAAAGGATGAAATGTCCTTGAAATTAACAATATATAATATATAATATTGCTTTGCAAATGACTGTGGCCTGTAACAATGGGAATGTTTAATATGTTGCAGAGGCGATAGCATACGAATTCGGAGCTGGAAGAGGACTTATCATGTACACGTTCCCTCCAGACCGAAAACCAGAGATGAAGAGGGATACAGTGGCCTTCGGCTTCGTTACCAGTGTAAACGACGCTGTACTGCTTAAGATCGAGTCCGCTGCCAGCCATGATTTCCTCGAAATCGAAATTGTTAGTAACTGATAAAATGATAAATTGTGATAATTGATATCGATTGAAGAATCAATCGTCACATCGTCCTGCGAGTAATGCTAATTTTCTTCTATACTTTTGGAGAATTACAAAAGCGTGCTGATAACATTCAGTTTCCTATACATCATTATGTAGAAAACCATTAATTTATCAATGTATATCGCTAATCATTATTGTAGGAAATAATGAAAAATATGTAAAGAGAACTAATGATTGTGATTATGCTTTTGTATTTCATT